ATTAGAATTCCCCAAACCCAATGGGCTTAAATTATTTTTCAGCCAAATTGTACGAGGTTGGATTTGAACTTTATTGGAGTAATTTTTGTTGCGTCAAAATCTAACTTCATATTCGAGGATTTGAAATTTTAACAAAATGAAATGAGGATATTGTTTAAGAAAATGAATTTTGATTTAAATCAAATTTAAATTAGTAGTTCAAGAGATAAGAATTGACCAAGACTATATAAAGAGAACGATAATATCCATTCAAACACTTTCTATACGTTTCGGACTGGACATCTAAAGCGTGAACAATATAAGATAGGAACTCAATATTGAGTAACTATAAATTTATTCAGACCAAATATCGCCATTATGTTAAGAAAATAGATCTTAGACTTGAGTTAACTCTACTCGAAAAACTACCTCACAAGATGAAGAATGTCCAAAACTATATGAAGGAGTTTGCCTCGGTAGGCATAAGGAAATTGGACACTTTTATATATACTTTGGGACAATTAATTATTACCTCATAAACTAACATTTAAGTTAAAATTAGATAAAGATATTTATTTTTCCAACAGAATAAGATAAAATAACATCAAGTTTCACGTAATAATGAAGAACCGAACTAATAAATGTAATTATGTCCAAAATGGACACAGGTGACGATTGATATATGAACTTGGTTCTTAAAATAAATAATGTTTGTTCCATTCATCGAATTTATTTTTTGGCCTAACAAATACGTTTTATGGACTCCTAGTACATAGTTTATTAATAACAATAAAACCTCGAATGAAATTTATTGATTCACAATTCTATTCTTTTTATTACGATATTGAATTTTAATTTCATAATTTATACATATGTTAAAATTTTTTTATGATAACCATAAAATTTAAACTAAAATTGCTTTCATTTTATCAACTAATAACTTGTACTCTACCTTTGATGTGTGACCTATGTTATTTAAGTTTAAGATTGCTAGGAGAAGTTATTACCTTTACTTAACTAAATTGAAAATGTCACAATAAATGATGTTATATTAGTTATTCCAATCTTTGCTTGTTCCCATAATTTCTTTTTATCTAATTATCTACAAAATGAAATTAACTACGTGTCACAAAAGGTAATTATAACTTCAATGAAATTATGTTGGACATAAGGAAGTTCTTCATTATCATCATTAGTTTAGTAATTACCATTTCTTAATAATTAATTGTTGTTTTTTCTTAATACTAATTATTATAGTGGCTATGATTTGCGGTAGTGTCCAATCTCATCAAGATAGAGATGACACATCAAAATATATGTTAGCGTTGTTCATTTACACGTTTCTGAATAAAAATATCAATTTTGAAAGTTTTTAAATCTTTTATCTTGATTAATCTGTGGTAATAATATTATAATCGTAGCTATATTATATTTAACATCAATAATATAATATATAATGTGGATGATCCACTAGAGTTATCCAACAATTAATTGAATTCGTGTATAAGTGTTTCGAAAGTGATAAACTTTCAAGGTGATAAGAACCTTAAAAGATAACTATATATCTATTAATGTGGTGACTTTTGGAAGTGATATCTCAACACTATAAATAGACATGTCACTCACCATTTGATATATATAATTAAATAGAAGAAACGTTCTCTTCTTTATCTCTATATCTTGTTTTCTTCTCTTTATACTTATATTGCTATGAGTTTGATTTTATAACAATATAAATATTAATAAGCTAGTACTCTGTATAATATTCTGAAAGGTACTCGCCTATTTATGGTGAGGCGTGGTGATTAAGTTGGAAGAAATAAGTTTTCTAAAATTTGGCTCTGAAGCGGGATCGAAATCATGATTTAAAATTGGTTGTTCGACTCGTGCGAAAATCTACATTTTCTCATTTTTCTCTCTATATGGTTGTTGATCAATGCCTTGTTAATAATATGAAAATAAGACGTAAAAGAAGTCTTGCATATGCACCATAATATTAGACTTATGGACAAAAGTAAGTTGGTTCAAATTACGCTTTTATTTATCCACATAGCAAGAAAATAATACTCAAAATCCAACGGTATCGGTTATTTTATATTTTACTCTACATGTATATATGTAGTATAATGGACATAAATTCTGTCGTAATTATACATATATTAATAATGAGGATTGTAAAATAATATGCAAAAACGTCGTATTTGACATACTAATAGCTAAAATACTACCTACTATCATATATAATTAGTTAACTATGTGCCTTTTAAGAAAAATTACGTGAAATAACAAATATTTAGAGCATATTATGTAATATAGCTGTAGTTTTATTATTTTTTGTTAATGGCTACAATTTCGCAAAATTTTCCTATTTTGTTTCTTAATCGTATAAATCCAAATTTTGTATAATTATGTCCTTAATTGTTTAATTCAGATTTCGTATAAAATTCGATTTTTGATTTTATAAATTAAAATTTATACTTACTTTAGCTACTTGTTTATGATTTATCAAAAAATTCATATTAATCTATTTGTATATGGACAAGCAAAATATACAAATGGAGTTCTGAAAATTTCTAAATGCATATACTTAATATCTTTGATGGTCACTCAACTATCAACTTTTTCCATAAAAAGTCACTTAACATTGATTTTCAACTCGAAAATCACTCAACTATGAAATCTTTGTATAGAAAGTCACTCAACCTATTTAATTATTTTTTTCCATTATATCTGTTGTCACGAAATATTATTTCTAACTAATATTCTAAGAATAAACATACATCCATTTAAATCATTTAATAAACCCGCCCACTTGACCTAACCCACATAATATTAACACTTTTGTTTTACTTTTATTCTCCAAAATTATTTTCTTGGTTTCCCATTCTTTCTCCTTTGCTTTTTTTTTCTTCTTCTCAATTTCAGCCTTTTTCTTCCTTTTTTTAGTAAACCTCAGTCAAATAGGAATTAGATTGTGATTAAAATATTATTAGAAGGATGCAGGGTTGTACAAAGAGAGTTTATTAAGAGATAATCTATAAAAAAAAAAAGTCAGATAATGCATATTCAGATTCAGAGATCATTAAATGATGACTTTTTTCGTAATAGGTTTTCTTTAAATCCTTTCGCCTTCATACGACGACTCTCGATAATAACATCGTTTAAAGCTAATAATGCTAATGAACAATAATCAAAATAAAAAAGAATTCGGATACAAGAGAAAATGATTTAGTGAGAGAAAAAATTGAGATATTCCTTATTCCTAACTAAACGAAGGAAGAAGAGGCTAAAATTGAGATTCAGTTAAAAAAAAAAACAAAGAAAAACGCAATGGAGATGAGAGAAAGTAATTTTGAAAAATAAAAATAAATTAAGAGGGTAAATATTTTATTTTTAGCGAGTTGGGTTAAGTGGAGCCGGTCATTAAATGGATATATGTTTATTTCTTAAAATTTTAGTTAGAAATACAAATTTCAAATCAACAAATTTTAATGAAAAAATAATTAAATAGGTTGAGTGGCTTTCTATGCAAAGATCTCATAGTTGAGTGATTTTTGAGTAGAAAATCATAGTTAAGTGAGTTTCTGTGAAAAAAAATTGATAGTTGAGTGACTATCAAAGATATTAACTCTAGACTTGTCATATTCGTATACTTACATACGAAATATACAAACCTCTGCCTCCATGACAAGCAAAAAACTATAACTATGAAACAATATTTTCGAAATCATAGCTATAAAGTCTTATTATATCTAATATCTTTACTATTTTTAAAAATTTCACATAATTTTAATACATAAATAATTTACTTTTAACTAACGAAAAAGGACATTTTTATGTCACCTGAGAGCCCATCGGTAGATTCATCACATTTTTTGTTTCTTGTAATAAACTGTACACATATAAGGAGAAATTAAATTAGAGATTATTTTTCCATTTTGAGGAGATTAATAAATTTAAAATGTAACTTAACATGTAAACTGCTATAAAGGTAACAAAACACGTAAACTGCTATAAAGGTAATTCTATTTAAAAGATAAATAAATGCTTAAAAGAAGTGCCAAAAAAACACAAACAAACAAATGAAACTAAACCTACTTCAAGGGAAGTTCTTGTAGTATAAAAATAAATAAAGTCAACTTATTCACGACATTTCTTTTTGGTTTTCTTTTGGCTACGTATTCATATTTAAGTCTGACTAATTTAGATTCTCGCTATATATAAAAGATTCAGGGGTGGCTCAACGCAATTGGAGGCCTAGAGCAAAATTTCAATTCGCGGCCTAATATATTATATACTTTATATACCTATTTATTCAAAATTTATTTTTTTTACACTATTTAGATGGAAATTATTAGTACTTAATATTGTTTTTTCAGTTATTAGTTTTAGGTAAAATTTTATTAATACAACATTGAAAAACATCCTTTAAGTGAGACAATTATTATATGTATTGTTAACATAGTGCTATAAGTAATAAGTAAATAAATATTAAATAAAAATAAGAGTAAGAACCATAGAATTTGACACAAGAAGTTGATGACTTGGTATACCTCATTTTAACATGCTTGTACTTTAGTAATGCTTGAATCTAAAATTTAAAAAGAAATAAAAAAGAATTTGTAATCCACTTTTTCCAACACTTTTCACTGTTAATTCTTATTTTTAACATAGTACAAAAAATATTAAAATGGATAAAATAATTTATTTTATAAAAGATTATATATATATTTTTTTATCATATATAACTAATTTTTCTATAAAAATTTAAACACATAATTTAATTTTAAAAAAAATTTGGGGCTTTGGGGCCTAAGACAAAGGCCTTAAAGGACAAAACATAGAGCCGCCCCTGAAAAGATCTCATTCGAAAGAAAATATGCATTACCAATGATTTTTCGTACCCAGAGCTCAAAATCAAAATTGTACTGTTATTTTTTTAAAAAATTTCATCTCAGACTAAATGGAATTTTTTTCTTTGGTTAACCTGTTTGATCAATCTTTTGAAATCAGTTAATTTTGAAAAATAAATTAATGAGAAATAATTTGTATTTGTCCAGCTTATTTAAGAATTATTTTTGAGCAACAATTTATATTTAGTCACGCTTTTAAGTGTATTTTTTAAAATAAAATTAAGGTATTATTTGAAAAAATTACTTTTAAAAAAATTGAATTAAATTCTGTTACTCTTATTATATACTCCTATATAATTTGATTGCCAAAAATATCAAACGTTTAATATTTGAAGTTGATGTGAGGGATTACTTCTTGATTAAATTGTACTACAATGTAATATTATCAAATTAAAGCTTCTTAAAAAGGCAAATTGATTAATTTGAAGTCAAAATAATTAATTATAACAATGGTAAAGCACCTTAAGAAACCATAGTTTGAAAGGTTACCAATGCGCTATATATTAATCAACTTGATAATATAAAAAAAATTTCAATTCGAAAAGGGCCTAAAATATTCTCAAAGTATTCGAAATGGTACAAAACTACCATCCGTCCACCTATTGACTCCAAAATAAAATTATTATCCACCTTTGAGTTTAAAATTGACTACTTATATAACAATTCTAAATTTAAACTATTTTAATACTTTTAAAAATACATGGCGTTCAAATATTTAATATAATTTAATTTATGAATATCATTTATAAACCAACCAACTACCAACTCATTAATCATTAAATCCCACCCAAATTCTACTATCAAAATTGTCCTAAACACTACTAAAACAAGACGAAATTGTTCGAGTCCGAATCGAAGCACCAATCTAATTTAGGTTGAGCCGCATATTTAGGAGGACACTTTCAATAGTATTTTTTTCAAGCATGAATTTGAAATTTAAGATTAATGGTAAAGAAGTAGTACATCCCGAATTAATTCATGCCTTTTTTAAATATAATTATATAAATATTTATGATTTGTTTTAAATATTAAAACTTGAATATATTATTTTTAAAAAAATTATCTATTAAGTACCATCACATAATTGAGACGAAGGAATAATTAAGATGAACATAGTGTTTAATTAGTAATGGATGGGTAGTAAATTTATTTATAAATTATATCAATAAGTTAAATTATAACAAATATTTGAGCGCCATGTATTTTAAAAAATATTAAATAGTTTGAATTTAAAACCGTTAGATAAATGGTCAATTTTGAACCCAAAAGTGGATGAGAAGGGTATTTTAGAGCCAATAGGGGGATGAGAAGGATATTTTGAAGCCAATATGTGATGGATGGAGGATAATTTTGTATCATTTCTAATACTTTAAAGATATTTTAGGTCATTTTCCCTTCTTTAGTTTATAGACTATAGTGTTAGTTCATCGAATATCATCTATTATTTCCGTCTTAAATTATTTTTTATTTTATAAATTTTTAAAAAATAAATTATTTTTTCCATTTAACTTTGATTGTAATTAATTTTTAAAAATTACCAACATATAAATAAAATTAATATTTAACAAAGAATTGTAACATAATATTTTTTTAATTATTCAAAATAAATATTTTTAAACATCATATAAAAGAAATACGACAAAAAAATTGAGACGGGAGAAGACAAGCCAGACAAAAATGTCCAAGAAACTCTTTCGTCTAAATATCTCTCATCCAAACTAATATAATACCCATTACAATTAACCATATTGACCAACTCAAACCCCTTAAAATCTATAAATAGACAAACCCTTCCCATACCTCTTATCATAAAAAAAATAATAATCTTTTTCAATAGACAAGTTTAAAAACCATACCATATAACAATATATCATGGTTATCCAAAGGAATAGTATTCTCCTTCTCATTATTATTTTTGCTTCATCAATTTCAACTTGTAGAAGCAATGTTATTGATGACAATTTATTCAAACAAGTTTATGATAATATTCTTGAACAAGAATTTGCTCATGATTTTCAAGCTTATCTTTCTTATTTGAGCAAAAATATTGAAAGCAACAATAATATTGACAAGGTTGATAAAAATGGGATTAAAGTGATTAATGTACTTAGCTTTGGAGCTAAGGGTGATGGAAAAACATATGATAATATTGTAAGTATTTAAATATTGGAATATATTTGTGGGGATGAAAATGATAGAGAATATAAGAATTATTTGGAAGGATGAAAAGTTATATTTTATAAAGTAGAAAATTATTTTCTCGTTTTTAGTAATTAAAGGTGAAAAATGAGTTTTCTCGTAAGCGAGGAAAGTCATTTTCCATGGAACTGTATTTTTTTTTACTTTTAATAACGTCATAGTATTTGCTATACTCAAGAATAAGACACTATTATTGATGTTTAGTGCTCGAAAAGAAATTGATAGTAATTTTGCTAATATAACTATCAATTTCTTATATGTATATTTTTCAACCAAAATAACAAAGCGTAATCCAATAAGTGGGCCTCTAGAATAAAGAGTAAGTTCTATTAATTCTTAACCTTATTTAATTTTATGGAAACCTCGACAAAACGACAATGCTCAACTTATATTCGAATTCGAGACCAACCATATGAACAACCTCACACATGCATATAGTCCTAATATATATAATTTTTCTAAAAAATATCTTCAATCTACCATATTGAAATATTGAAAAATGACTTTTATCCTATCGAACACATAATCAAGAGTTTCTTTTAAGAATTTACCACTACATTTGGTAGTGTTTCTTATCGTGTTAAAATTATCTTTCAGGCATTTGAGCAAGCATGGAATGAAGCATGTTCATCTAGAACACCTGTTCAATTTGTGGTTCCTAAAAACAAGAATTATCTTCTCAAGCAAATCACCTTTTCAGGTCCATGCAGATCTTCTATTTCAGTAAAGGTTAGCATATTGATTATTTATATCCTCTTTGTTAGCAATATATTATCTGGTTTATGACAAAATTTAAGAAAGTAATCAAAGATAGCTAAACAATGAATTTTCGTCACTAATTTAGCGGATTAGTGAGGAATTATCAAAATGTTATGTTAGCTATGAGCAACTTAGCTATGAATTAGCTAGTGAAGAAGTTTGATGCTAATTCTATTTTTTTTTGTAGAGTAAAGATATTTGAAACACATGTATTAATTATTAATTATGTCTTAATTAATATGTCAAGTGGATAGTTCAAACTAAAGAACTGTCAAAAGAAAATAAGAAAGAAATATTTATTTTTAAAATAAATTAAAAAGAAAAATATGAGAAATAAATTCAAAGCGAGAAGGTATTACATAATCATAGGGGATAAAAAGGATATTATATAGTAAAGAAAAACAACAACTACAACATATCTAATAAAGTCTCATAAATGGATATAAAAAAAGTATTGTGTAAGCAAACATTATCCCTACAAAAACTTTTGTGGGGTAGATCGATCCAGAGGTTGTTTCCAGACTCTTGGCTTAAAAAAAATGTTTTTTTTCTAAATAAGTTTGAAAGAAATGTTATATGATGAAAATATGAAAGAAAAAACATATCAATATTAAAAAATAATAAAAGTAATCAAAGTAAACGAAATAACAATAGGAATAATACTCATAAATGAAAATTTAGTGGCTTTCGTACTACATAATCTTAGTTTATTCATTGTTTCTTTAATTTCCCTTCTTATTTTTTTTGAAATTACTATGCAGATTTTTGGATCCTTAGAAGCATCTAGTAAAATTTCAGACTACAAAGATAGAAGGCTTTGGATTGCTTTTGATAGTGTTCAAAATTTAGTTGTTGGAGGAGGAGGAACTATCAATGGCAATGGACAAGTATGGTGGCCAAGTTCTTGCAAAATAAATAAATCACTGGTAATTTTATAACCTTGCTTATAAGTTTTACGCTATGTTGCTCGAATTCTTTAAACTTGTTCTAAAGATATTATATATTTGAAGGAGGTGTCACAAATGCATCACATTTTTAGAGATTCCGACCAATATTAGTTTTATGTAATCTAATTTTCAGAGCATCTTTGCCTTGTACTGATCATTGTTACCCTTTTTTTCTTCATGCAGCCATGCAGGGATGCACCAACGGTACGTTAATTCATTTGATTTGATAAAAAAAAAAGCCTAAAATATATTTGAATTTTAATTGAAATTGTTATAATAATTCTTAACTTTGGGCAGGACCTATTACCCCTTTGCACTATTTAATAGTGTATTTTAAAGATATAAAAGTGTTTAGTTGAAACAAAAATTTAGATATTCAAAAACTATATGAAAATTACTATAAATTGCAATTTTTTTGCATATCAATATGATTAAAAAATATTAGTTAAAGTTCTTATGATTTGATTCTAAAAATAAAAATCATGACAAACAATAGTAGACGGAGAAAGTATATAACAATACCTCTTCAAGTAGAATCGATTTGTACACACACCTCAAAACCTACGTTTCTTCGATTATATTTTCCTATTTCTTTTAATAGTTTTAATCAAAGCTATTAGTTCTGTCAAATCTATACATTGAAACTCTATCTTTGACGCCTCTGACATTCGAGATCGTTGATTTACAATGGATGAATGATTATTTAACTTTCTATTTAAATATTAAAACTAATATTGTTTAATTTTCAGGCCTTAACCTTCTGGAATTGCAAAAATTTGAAAGTGAATAATCTAAAGAGTAAAAATGCACAACAAATTCATATCAAATTTGAGTCATGCACTAATGTTGTAGCTTCAAATTTGATGATCAATGCTTCAGCAAAGAGCCCAAATACTGATGGAGTCCATGTATCAAATACTCAATATATTCAAATATCTGATACTATTATTGGAACAGGTTTATTTATTTAATTTTTATTTATCCAATTTAATTAGAAAAAAAAAGGAGTATTTTTATTTGATAACTAAATTATTAATTTTAATTTTTTTTATAGGTGATGATTGTATTTCAATTGTTTCTGGATCTCAAAATGTGCAGGCCACAAATATTACTTGTGGTCCAGGTCATGGTATAAGGTACTCTATTTTACAAATATACTTGTTTCCATTTTCTCTATTTCATAAAAGGTAGTATGATATAATAATTACTTTAAATCCTTTAATTAATTTATTGGCAAATTTTTTCTCTTGTCTTTATGGTTAATGACTTAGCACAATAATTAGGGCCCGTTTGGATGGGCGTAATAAAAGCAGCTTTAAAAAAGTACTTTTAAAAGTGTTGAAACTTATTTTTAAAATAAGC